TCAGCTCTCTCTCTAAAGCTTCTGTCCCCAGTCTCTCCTTAGGTGTCTCTAGCCCACACTGCCCCCACCTTTGCCAGAACCTGGAATAAGTGTCTGCAAATGAAAACTTGCGCATTGGCTCTTTAAATGGTTCTTCGCATCTCCAGCCGTCTGTCTCTGGCAAAGAGCAACCCTGCCATTTTTTTTCCACTGGTTGTTATCTGTGTACTTTTGGGACTCTGGTACTTTAGGCTGGGGATCCCAGCTTAGAGTTTAGACCCCACTCTTCCCACGGGGATCCAACCAGCCATTTAATTATCCCTCCAATGCTGGTGCCTGTGGGCACCCTGCCAGCCTTATTGAGTCTGCACTGCACTCCTTAATATTCAGGTTGTGCTGAAGCTGATTCTTCTGTCTATCCATGGTTATAAGGCTTCTCTCTTGTTACTGTTCAGTTATTTGTTCTGCATGATTCTTCCACAACTTAGTTATAATTCCAGATTGGTCCTGGGAGGATGTTAGTGTGGCTTCCATTCACTCCTCCACCATCTTACACCTCTCACTACCATTTTTAAGCACCTCCTCCATATTTATGTTTTATTATTATCTTTGACTTCTTTTCTGTGTGTGTTTTTGTGCATCCCATAATTTATCTTTGTAATTCTACATGATCTTTCTACTTTTGCATTTTTTCCCTTGAACTAGATCTGTACTTGTTTTATCTACTGCTTTGCTAAGAATTTGTCTTCATCAGTGAATATTTTTTCTTTCCTATATTTTCTTACTCATATTTTTTTATCTTTTCTACTGAAGGAAATCCCTTTAATATTTCTTGTAATACTAATTAAATGAGAATGAACTTCTTTCGCTTTTTCTTGTCTGGGAAACTTTTTATTTCTCCTTGCATTGTAAAGAATAACCTTGATGAGTACAACAGTCTTGGTTGTAAGTTCTTGCATTAGATCACTTTGAATATTTTCTGCCAATCTCTTCTGGCCTGCAAAATTTCTGTTGAGAAATCCACTGACACTCTTATGGGAGCTCCTTTGCAAGTAACTAACTGTTCTCTCACTACTCTTAAGATTCTCTCTTTGTCTTTTACCTCTGACATTTTAATTAAATGTGGACCCCTCTGGGTTCATCTTTTGAGGAGCTCTCTGTACTTCCTGAACACTTATGTCTATTACTTCACAAGATTAGGAAAGGTTTTAGTCATTATTTCTTCAAAGAGGTTTTTAATACTATCTTCTCCACCTGATATACCTATGATGTATCCAGGAAGGAATCTCTGGGACAACATCAAGTGTTATCTCAAAGATCCCTTACACTATCTTCATATTTTTCTCTTTTTGCAGCTCTAATTGTGTGTTTTCCACTACCTAGTCTTCCATATCTTTGATTTGATTCTATTTCATCTAATCTAATGCTGATTCCTTCTAATGTAGTCTTCATTTTATTTTTGTCTAATATTTTATTTTTTTCTTTATTATATTTTCCATTATCATTTAGTCCTTTTATACTCCCTCTTCCCAGAAATCACCACACTGTTGTCCATATCCGTGAGTCCTTTTTCCTTTTTTGTCAGTCCCTCCACACTCTCACTTCCCCCTCCAGTTAGCTGTCATCCTGCTTCTGACTGGCTTATTTCACTTAGCATAGTATTCTCCAGGTTCATCCATAACATACTGTTACAAAGGGTAAAATTTTCTTCTTTTATGGCTGAGTAATATTCCATTGTGTAAATGCTCCATATTTGTTTTATCCACACATCTACTGAGAGACACTTTGGCTATTTCCATATCTTGGAGACTGTAAACAATGCTTCAGTGAATGTGGAAGTACTTATGTTCTTCTGAATTAGTGTTTTGGGTTGCTTAGATATATTCCCAGAAGTGTAATCACTTGGTCAAAAGGCATGTCCATCTTGAATTTTTGGAGGTATCTCCATACTGCTTTCTACAGTGGCTGTACCAGTCTGCATTCCTAGCAACAGTGCATAAGGGTTTCCCTTTCTCCACGTCCTTGCTAGCACTTGTTATTTGTTGATTTATTGATGATAGCCATTCTGACAGATATGAGATAATATCTCTGTGGTTTTAATTTGCATTTCTCTGATGATTAGTGACATTGAGCATCTTTTCACATGTGTATTGCCCATCTGTATGTCCTCTTTGGAGAAATATCTATTCAGGTTCTTTGCCCAGTTTTTAATTGGGTCATTTGTTTTTTCAGTGTTGAGTTTTATAAGTTCTTTATAACATTTGGATATTAACCCCTTATCAGATGCATTGACAAGTTCTTTCATTCTGTGTTGTCTTCATTTAAATGAAGACTTATTGTGTTCATCATTTTTTTGTATTCTTCATTTTGGACTGGTTCTATTTTATGGTTTCTATCTTTTTGTCAAGCTTATCCCTGAGTTAATGTATTCTTTCTCTAAGTTCATCGAGCATCCTTACAAGCAATGTTTTGAACTCTGTATCTGGTATATTGCTTACTTGTCTCCATTTTGTTTAGTTCTTTTTCCGGGGTTTTGTTTCATTCTTTCATTTGGGATATGTTTCTGTGTCTCTCATTTAGTCTGCCTTTCTGTCTTTGTTTCCTTTTTTAGGTTGATCTGCTATCTCACAGTTTGGGCACAGTGGCCTTATGTAGTATTTGTCCTATGAGGCCCAGTGCCACAGTTGCTCTGTTCACCTGAGCTGGGTGCACTGGGAGTGCCCCTTGTGTGGCCTGTGCGTGCCCTCCAATTGTAGCTGAGCCTTGATTTCTGTTGGCATGTCAGTGGGTGGGATTGGCCCTCACTTTGACTGGCTATGAAGGCTGGCCATGACTACAGTGGAGAAGCTGTTGTGCAGGGACTGACCCACAGAGCAGGGGTCACTTTAGTGTAGCTCAGGTGCCAGCTGAATCTGCCCTTCAAGTGTGTCATTGTGGAGCCAGTTTGTTCGGTGGTTCTCTGTTGTTGTTTGAAGCTGGCCACCAGGTATGTTGGTTCTGCAGCCTCGTAGAAGTGGCTCCAGTGCAAACAAATGTTGGCTGCTATTAGCACTTGGCTCGGGGCTGCCTGGTGTCAAATCCAAAGTGATCTGTAGTTGGTTGCCTTTTGTACTAGGCTTGAATGCACTTGGGAGAGGCTGTCCTGCAAACCAAGGCTGGGTGCCACTAGTGCCAAGCTTTTGGAAAGCACCACAATGTGAGCTGAGGCCAACCACCTCTTGTACCATTAGCAGTCACTTAGTTGAAGCTACATTCTCCACCAACAGTGGCCACAGCTTATGCCAGGCTTGGGATCACTTAGTGGGAGTTAACATGCCCGTTAAGACTGGTTACTGCTTGTGCTAGACTTCGGGCTGCTTTGCAAGTAGTATAGCACACTCTGAGGCCAGATACTACTAGTCTGGGGCTTGTGGACTTTTGAGAGATTTTAGAAACATCTGTAGCATGAGCTGAGTTAGGCCACTTCTATGGAAAAACCACTGGAAGTGTCTCAGGCCTGATGCAAAGTTGAATGGACATGGTCTCAGGAAATCACCAGGGAAGGGCAAACAGTATTAGCCAGGTTAATGAAGAGCTCAGATTCGGCATCGGCCAGCATCTGCAAGCAATTTCACCCCTGGACAGAGCTGCCCTGCCCCCTGCCCCTTCCAGCCCTCCACCTGAAACTAGTTAATTCAGTTTCTCCATGTATGTCCCTGGCACTGTTCAAGCTGCTGCCCCATACTGGATCCCAGAGCAAGTGATTTTGTGACCAAGAGGAATGCCTGGGACTTACTGACACCATCTCATTCACATACAATCACTGCTGGTTTTCACAGCCAAATGTTATGGGGACTCCTCTTCCTGGCACAAGTGCCCCAGGCTGGGAAGTTCAGTGTGGGGCTGGAACCCCTCAGTTTTCAGCATGGAACACACTGCAGCCAACACATTTCTCCCAATTCTTAATCAGCACACGGTGAGTGTGGGTCCTGCCCCTTCCCAGTTTCAATCCCTCCTACTGGTCTTTTTGTAGCTTCTTTGTATTACTAGTGATAAGACTTCAGTTCAGCTAGTCTTCACATGGATCTCAATTTGTTCGATAATTTAGTTATAATTTTGATACGGTTATGGGAGCACATGGGCACAGCATTTACTTACTCTGCCATCTTGACTGGAAGTCTAACTGGGGCTTTTCATTTGAGTAGAGGTAATAGAAAAGAGAAAGAGGTGAATATCATAGCTATCATGCAGGGAGAATTGGTTGAAAATATAAGTTAAATATTAACCCAATGCCAGTCAAATAATAGGAACTCGATACATTACAGTTTTCCTTTGATTTCTTTAGACTTTTCCATACTTGGTAAGAGAAGTAAAGCTGGACTCACATAGGCCAAAATAAAATAGAATTGGACTCAGGTCAATTTCATGACATTGGACACTGGAAAATGTTTTAAAAAATTGGAAAACCAGGGATTCTTGAAAGAACTTCATTGAAAGTTGACCATGTAGTCAAGACTGAGTAGGAAGATTTTGGAGGATGTGACCTTTTGTGAATAAAAGATGCTGTCCTTGATTAGAGACTTCAGTTACCTGAAGGGCCACCTGAAAAATGCCATTCTCTGCCGTGTGAGCAGGAGCACTGGAGGGGTGATTCCACCCGACACTGACAAAGTGATGGTTTGGTGACATACCATGTTTCCCTGCTTCTGTCAACAAATCCTATACCCATAAAAATGAGATTAAGTACAAAAGTAAAAACAGCCTAAAAGTATGTTTTGAATACATTACTGAATGTGAAGTGAAATTCAAACAGCATGTAAAGTACTGGAGGGAAAATAAACCAGCATAATAATAAGCCCAGTGACATACTGTAAAGCAGTTATTTTCCACTAAAAGATACTCTTTTAACCACTTAAAAAAATGCCAGTACTCTAGTGTCAGCAAATATTCTTGTATTCATCATTATAGATTATGAAAATTTTATTTACAGAGCATTCAGTACTTTGCTTTTATACACTGTTTCCTTTTATAGTTATGTACAATATTATGCTTTAAGAAATCAAAAATCATATTCTAGGTAATGTGCACTGACATGAAACAATTATATTTCATGATTTGTCAGTGAGTTTATGGTTCACATCATTTTCTCTTGCATTTATCTATTTCTACCCACCCAAACAAATGTTACATTTTTATAAAAATTTGCTGTCAATAGTTTAAATGTACAAATGCCTTCAATTTCCATTTTTGTCAGATATTACAAAAATGTTCAATATTGAAAATATGTGTGGCTCACTAAATAGGTATATTTTTAAAAATACTATTAAACAAGTCAACTGATTGGCAAATAGGAAAACATTATCATATTTGAATTATTCAGAGCTATGTCTTTCAATGTGTGATTTCCAGGCAGAAAAGGAGGAAAGCTTCTAGCCTAATGGAGAGACAGGCAGACAGCTTCATCCACGAAACTTGTTCATGTAGAAATGTTTCTATCATCTTCTTCCAGTCCTACAAAGACAAATTATGAATGACCTCTCTTCAAATGATCAGAATTCGTAAAATATTTCTTTTGAAAATTTAATGTTCATTTAAATTTTAGTGTTTATTGTTATATAGATACTCTTTGGATCACTTTTCTCTACCTGTATTTCTGCACTTTGTAACACAGATTCCCACCTACTATTCTTCAACATAGTGTCCTGAGAAGAGCAGTTGGCTGGGAAACCTGAATTCCAGTGTAAGCTCCAACAGTAAGGGTTGTAATGTTTGGGGCAGGATCTTAACTTACCCAAAAGTTCCTGTCTTGCTTTGCCTTAGATCTTACACTCCTTCATAACTCAGTGCTATCTGTAAAACAAAACAAAACTAAAACCAACACATAGTATCAAATATTAAAAATGTTAAATTACTTGGGATCTTTTAGGGGAAAAAACAAACAACTGCTTTGGTGAACATCAGCCAAAAATTTATTTTTCTCAAATATCAACCTCTGGGATATATATCTATGGAGTAATAAACCCAAACCCTGAGCTCTGCTCTTTTTAGTAGCATATTCTATCTAGAGGATCTGGAAAGCTGTTCAGAGACATTTGGAGTTGATGTATTATGTAACAGAGTAGGGCAAGAATGCTTACAGAGGAACGTCTGGCTGAAAAGTTGTCCCATGTCATCACTTTCTGCAATGCTGAGGGAAAAAACAAGTCCAAACACACAGCCATTGGAGCAAGCATAAATTTACTCTGGTAGCTGTGCTTGGCAGTGCTCTAGAAGGGCAGAATTCCTTTCAATATGCCTGTTTAAGCAACTACAATCATTTAAATAAATATTTTATACCATCGCCACACAAAAATATCATATGCATTATATTACCAAGACACTGCTCCTTTTGAAATTGCTAGAGTATGTTAGATCCCTGCCTGTCTTCTTCCTGGTGCCAGCGATTAGTAGCTGGGATTCCTCCTTTCTGGAAAACATACAGTGTTCAGCATATGTGCTAGATCTCTGGTGCAGCACAACCACCAATTGTCTCCTCAGTAGTCGCTGACTTCCTTCTGCAAATCCTAGCTCTTAGTTCACTAGTTCTGTGGGAACCTCACTTTAGGCTTGAAAAGGGCATTGGCTGGGTATCCAGGCATGTGAGAAGTTAACAGACTATTGCACTTAACACTCAGTCTTGTAAGAGCCATTCACATGTCCGCACTGCCTTTCTGAGGTCAGGATTATACCTATCATGCACATTGCTGTATCCTCAATAGGTGGTGAACATGCTTAAACAAAGTACTGCCTCTTAGTGAGTACTCGATGAATATTCAGTGAATGAGTACAATGCAGTCAAAATGCTTATAAATGGATAATTACCACCTTGTTAAGATGTCTGGTACATAGATACTTCCCAGATTTCTGGGTGAGAGCTGCTGTAAAGAGAAATAGGATGCATCTGAAGATAACAGGGCCCTGACTGGTGTGGCTTCGCTGGTTCAGTGTTGTCCTGAAAAGCAAAAGGTCACAAAGGTTCCATTCCTGGTCAGGGCACATGCCTGGGTTGTGGGCCTGGGCCCCAGTCAGTTCACTAGTTCTGAGAGGCAACCAATCAGTGTTTCTCTCCCTTTCTTTCTCCCTCTGTTCCCCTCACTCTAAAAATAAATAATAAATTTTTAAAAAATCTATAACATAAAGTTAACACCAATCCATCATATTATTACTTTTTGGACACTCTCCATCAAGGGAGGTGAAAATAACAATGGGTTCTCAGCTCCATGCTCAATGTTTCATGTGAATTATTATAGATATTAGAGTCCCTATTATAGGTGAGGGAATTGAGTGACCGATTTTCTAAATTAGTACATGGCAGAGGTAGGATAAGAACTCCAAATCCAATATACTCTTTCTACCATATCTCATACCTATATCACAAGCGGACATATTAATAAAAGAAACCAGTACTCTCATTTTAATGGTGGCATGACCTGTCTCCATTATCTATTCATACTATGCTTCCCCCTTTCTTTTCTTTTTTTAGATTTTATATATTTATTTTCAGAGAGAGGAGAAGGAGGGGAGAAAAAGGGAGAGAAACACTGATGTACAAGAGAAACAGTCGGCTGCCTCTTGCACACTCCCAACTGGGGACCTGACCCACAACCCAGACATGTGCCCTGACTAGGAATCAAACCAGTGACCTTTTGGTTTGCAGGCTAGTGCTCAATCCACTGAGCCACACCAGCCAGGGCCCCTTCTCTATTCTATTACAATGTCCTAAATTTATCTCATATGGGATTTTGTGTAGAGCATTGATTATTCTCAAATTTTAATGTGTTAATAAACTGCCTGCAGATCTACTCCAAATGCAGAAGGCTCTGGTTCAGCAGATCGGGGGTTGGGGGGAGGGTTGCTGGAAGTCTGCATCCTAACAAGGTGCTGAGGATGCTCCTGGTCCTACTTTGGGTAGGACCATACTTTGGGTAGCAAGGATGTAGATTAGTGTTATATTTACTGGTAAATGGAAAAAATTTTTGGATGATGTAGACTCTGACTCAATAGTGCTGATTCATGTTATATAAAAGCTGAATCAGATAGAGCAGTTCAAACAGCAGCAACACAGAAACTATAGTGCAGAAGTTGCCTGCCCAGAGTCTGTACTGGTGGCCAAATTGTAGTATGATCTTTTATAGTTATATGCTTCTATGCAGGATATTTACAACTACTCAATAAGATAGGATGGGTATTAAAATTCCTGGCACTGGTGGCTTCTGGCCATGATAGAGGCATAGGTAGACATGCTTTGCCCCCTCCTGCAACCATAAGAAGGGTCACAGTGAACTTCAAAACTAAAAAGAACCCAAACTGCCAGAAAACCAAGCTGTATGAAAGTGTAACATCCAAGGATTTAAAGAAGAAATAGTCATCCAGACGGGTAGGAGCAGAGGTAGAGAGCCAGAGCAGAGAGGACACAGTGTAGCGGCAGCGAGGTGGTGCTGGCCAGGTGGGCAGTCCCACACTCATGTTTGGTAGATTAAAAACTGGGAGGGACACCTGGGAAGCAAACAATCAGACTGTACAGTCCAGGGTTTCAGTGAAGGTACAATAAAGCCTTATAACTTCTGGCTGTAGAAACCAGTGGGGATCAGGCAGGTGAAAGAAACTGCCAGTCTCTCAGAAGAGTCCACTTAAAGGACGTGTTCTGTCCTAGAATATATGCAAACCCACATACTGTGGGATTCAGCACCACGGAAGCAGCCAGAATGGCACCAGTTGCATACAGGAAGTGGAGAAGTGACTAGAAACTGGGCAAGAGCTGAACAAGCCTCCCACAGCCAGACAGCAGCACTGTCCCCTCTCCAACTCCTCCCCCACATACAGTGCCACAAAGTGGCAAAGTGGGTTGCCCTGCCCTGGTGAATATCTAAGGCTCTGACCCTTTCATTGCAACAGATGAATCAACTCAGGGAGTCAAAGCAGTTCTACCTGATACACAGAAACAAACACAGGGAGGCTGCCAAATTGAGGAGACAAAGAAATATGTTCCAAATGAAAGAACAGATCAAAACTCCAGAAAAAGAACTAAGTGAAATGGAGATAGCCAACCTATCAGATGGAGAGTTCAAAACACTGGTGATGAAGATGCTCCGAGAACTGACTGAGTACAGCAAACACATAAGGGAAGAAATAAGGACTACACTAAGTGAAATAAAGAAAAATTCTCAGGGAATCAACAGTGAAGGGAAAGAAGCTGGGGTTCCAAATCAACAAGTTGGAACATAAGAAAGAAATAAACAGTCAACCAGTACAGAATGATGAAAGAATTTTAAAAAGAACACAGAGAGAATAAGAAGCCCCTGGGACATCTCCAAATGTGCCCACATCTGGATCACAGGGATGCCAGAGGGAGAAGAGGAACAGGAAGAAATTGAAAACTTATTTGAAAAAATAATGAAAGAAAGCTTCCCTAATTTGGCAAAGGAAATAGACATACAAGTCCAGGAAGCACAGAGAGTCCCAAAGAAGTTGGACCCAAAGAGGACCACACCAATGCACAGCATAATTAAAATGCCAAAAGTTAAAGATAAAGAGAATCTTAAAAGCAGCAAGAGAAAAGAAGAGAGTTACCTACAAAGGAGTTCCCATCATACTATTGGCTGATTTCTCAAAAGAAACTTTGCTGGCAAGAAGTGTTCAAAGTGATGAAAAGCAAGGACCTACAATCAAGATAACTCTATCCAGCAAAGTTATCACTTGGAAGGGCAAAGTGCTTCCCAGACAAAGTAAAGCTAAAGGAGTCCATCACCACCAAGCCCTTATTATATGAAATGTTAAAGGGACTTATTTAAGAATAAGTAGATCAGCCCTGGCTCGTGTGGCTCAGTGGATTGAGTGCTGACTTGAGAACCAAAGGGCTGCTGGTTTGATTCCCAGTCTGGGCACATGCCTGGGTTGCTGACCAGGTCCCTATTAGGGGGTGCATGAGAGGCAACCACACATTGATGTTTTTCTCCCTCTCTTTCTCCCTCCTTTCTCCTCTCTCTAAAAATAAATATGTAAAAACCTTTTTAAAAAAGAAAAAGAAGATCAAAACCATGAGCAGTAAAATGGCAAAAAACTCACAACTATCAGCAACTGAATCTAAAAAACAAACTAAGCAAACAACTAGAACAGGAACAGAATCATAGAAATGGAGATCACATGGAGGGTTAGCAGTAGGAAGGGGGATCCGTTAAAATGGAAGAAAAGCTACAAGGATTAAGAAGAACAATTGGCAGGTACAAAATAGATAGGGGGAGGGTAAGTATAGTATAGGACATGGAGAAGCCAAAGAACTTATATGCATGACCCATGGACATGAACTAAGGGGGGTAGATTACTGGAGGGAAAAGAGGTACCAGAGAGAGCAGGGTAAAGGAAAAAAAAAATGGACACCTGTAATAGCATAGCCAATAAAATATACTTAAAAAATAAGATTCCTGGCACATAAAATGCCCAATAAATTTTGGGTATTTTTATCCTCGTTTTATAGATAGAAACTGAACCTTGGAGAGATTAACTGTTGATCAAGCTGATGTTCAACCCCACGTCATCTGACTACAGCAGCAAAATGCTTCCCTGCCCACCTGATCCTCTCCAGCTGCTATTTGCTTTTCTGGATTGTAGATAATTCCCTTTCTCCCCCTTGTCATTTAAGCCTCCTATCCTTTCAAGTATGTAACTCATAGTCACTTATTATGGCTTAATAAATATTAATAAATATCATGTTAGCAATGTACTCAAAAAGATTTAAAAGGTGAAACAAAATCAATTAATTTTCTCATTCTCTCATTTCTTATTCTTCTTAAATAAGTGGTCAGATTCCATCCCATCTACTCACACACCTTTAAAAGATTATTTATAGCTTTTAAAAGCCTTTCCCATCACCCTTTTTCTCTCCTGCTGGGCGCTCTTCATTTCACTCCCATAGCAGCTCTAAATTAGTTTATTGAAATAGTGTCGCTTGTTAAGGTCTTGTGGTGTTTATGTCAGAGAGAAAGAAGGCAGTTGACAGATAGTCAGCTAGAAGCCTGTTCCAGTTCTTGCGGAGATGTGCTTTCTTCTGGATTTTATACATGAAAATTGGGGAGCCACCCACCTCCCACTTTAATGTCAGTCCCTCATATTGGATATGGATAGAGTTGAAAGTGAACTTAGAACAGTGAGGCTGCTACCATAAAAAAAAAACACCTTAAAAGGCTCCAAAGTTAACGGGCTTCGGTTGCATTTTGAGATGAGGCAGCATTACATGGTGACCAGTCATACTAAAGCCATTTTTGTCCAGGGGCAACTCTTCCTCTTGGTCACTGTTTATTAACATTCATTCCTAGAGGGATAACAACACTAGAAGCTTAACTTACATTCTCCTCTCTAGACCTATAAAGTACAAAAGGACCTAATTAAAAATTAAACCAAAAACACCAATAAACACATTTTAAAGGTGGTTTTTTTTTTGGCCTCCGATAGTCTAAAATGAATGAAAATAAAAGCCAGAAAAGATAACATTTATTGTACACTTTGTATCAGGCACTGTCTTAAGAGCTTTAAACCTCACAATAATCTTTTGAGTACTTTTACTACATCCCCTTAAAAGATTAAAAAAACTGACTTTTCGGGAGGTTCAGGAACTAGCTCAAACTCAGGGTTGAATTTAAATCTAGGCAGTTGAACTTCAGGTTTAAGATCTTAACTTTTGTTCTACTGTATTTCCCCAAATGCTGAGATGTTGTTTGTCTGTGAGAATTTCAGAGACAAACCTCTTTTAATTTCCAAAAAAGAAAAACTCCCATTCAAAGCAGCTAAGTAAAAGGGGGTACTTTAATGGCGCCTATCAGCAACTTACAGAATGTGTTGTTATCAGGAACAGCTGGATCCAGGGACTTGCACACTATCAGGAGTCTCTGTGTGTGTTCCTTGCTGAATGTCAGACTCTTCCAAACCAGCTATGGGAGTCCACATGGTGGGTCATTTGGGGAAGCTCGTTTCACATCCTAAAATGAGCCCAGAGGAAAAAAATAACCATCCCTCACAGCTCAGATAAGAAAATTCACAGAACAACTCTGATTGACCCAATTTAGATTATGTACGCATCCCTGGGTCAATCCCAGTGGCAAAAGAGATAAAGAACTATGATTTACCCTGTCTGGGTCACATGCCCACCCCTGTGACCTGGAGGGCTGGGTCTGTATCAGAAGAGGGCAGAAAGGTGCTAGACAAAAAATAAAATAGTTGTAAACTACCTCTTTAGAGTTTACAAAGTGCCCTCATATGATTCATGCATCGTGAGTCTCACAACCACCCTATGAAGAGGGCAGGTTAAGTATTACTAAAAAAATGTGGGCTACCATTGTATTCGCGTGTTTACTGCACATCACTGAACACTCCACAAGTACAGTGTGTCCAGAGCTGAGCTCATCACCTTGCCACTTCACTGACTCCCACTTCTGCTTTCTTCCTTTGTTGGTGGCACCATCATCAACATTGACCCCTAAGCTAGTAGTGTGTGAGGTTAACTTCACTGTCTTCTCCCTCAACCTCACATGCAATTGTTTCTTAGTACTGCTAATTTTGCTTCCTACACATTTCTGCAATTTATTCCTTTGTCTTAATATCCCATTAACAGAATAAAATCAAAATATTCGAAGCTTAACTAATTATGTCCCCCCTCAAACCTGCTCTTCTTCCAGTGTTTTAGTAGGATATTACCCCCATTTACTTAGTCGCCAAATGTGGGATTGGGTATCAAGGTTGAGTTCTCCTTCTTTGACTTCCATGATTATGTGACTACCAGTTTCTGATGTTCGGCATCCTATTTGTGTCTTAAACCTACCCAGTTAGTTCTCTCGATTCTGTGTGCTCATTTTTCACTTCCTGTAGCAGTATCCTAATCGGTGTCCCTGCCTTGAGTCTTCACTCCCTCCTACCTTTTCTGCAGGAGAAAACCAGATCTGATCACGTCAGCAACTTTCCTTTACCTCACTCCCCATTTTCTAATCCTTTAATTCCTGGTATGTTTAACTAAACTACAAAATCTAGGATAAGGGTCATAACTGATATGCCCTTGTCTCCACTGTATTTGACACAAAATACATGCTCAATAAATATGAAACTTGCATTCGTCCCCTTTCTGATTATAGTTTATACACAGCAGATGAATCCTTGACGTGTTCTAGGTGCGTCGGACCTCTGGAGACACAGCATATCACAATACGGTTCACTGTTGTAGGAGCTGGAGGCCTTTAAAGAAAGCAATCAGAAACTAGCACCATCGTACCAAACGAATTGTGTAGCCAGCACACAAAAGGATGTAAATCCCAAGGCATCTTCACGGTGGTAACTTGAGACTAAAGCCACCCTCACGGCTCTGGGCAAATACCTTCCCCTTTCTGGACCTCTGTCTCGTGACATATGAATCGAGCATAGTGAGAAAAATGAAGTAATACTTCAGGGCCGCGGTATGAGAAATAATGGGGCTCTACGTAGGGCCAGCGCGTGCGCGTGCGTGCGCGCGCGGCGCGGGCTTTTCCGGCGCCGCCGTCCCGGCTGCCCCCGGGGGAGGCAGCCGGGAGATTCCCGCGGTTTGGCCCCGCCATTGGCGGGCGGTTTGAATGACGGAAGTGACGGCAGCTCGGCGATGGCCGCCCCGCAGGCGCACGAGCAGCTGTTGGGGAGCCGATGGGCGGCGGCCGCCGGGGCCTTCCCAGTCTGAGCTGCGTTTCCTGGCTCCCGACCCCCGGTTCTTAGGTGAGTGACGGACTCTCCGGCTTCCTTCGCCCCCGGGCGCCTACGACTCCCTGAAGTCTGGGGCCTCGGAGTGTGCTCTGCTGGAAGGGGACTACGGGAAGGCGCGGCGCAGAGAAGGCAGCAAAGCCTGCTGCGCGTCTCAGACCTTTCCCTGGCTCGGCCCGGGCTTCCTCCATCAGGAGCTCCGGGACCAGCGGCGCAGCCGACCCAGCCTTGCCCGCTCGTGCGAGAGGCCACTCCGGGGGCTTTTGCGCGTGTGGCTTTAAGCCTCTCCCGGGTTCGGATCTCGCGGGGGGTCCTTGGAATTCCATGTAGTGGGCAGCTGGGAACGCTTCCGGGGCTCTTGCTGCTGCGACAAACTCCTCCGTGCGTCCTGTCCCCCCCTACCCCCAAGATCACCGTGGACTTGGCCAGAAACCGGGTAGCTGTTTAAGAACACCACCTGGGGTCGTTTCATGCGGAGAGCTTTCTCTTTTTGGGCGTCTGTTACGTTAACTTCTCAGGCATTAGGTCCTGCCTTGAACTTGGCTTTTATAACATTAGGGAACGATCGAGTCTTTCATACTTAGAAAACAATTGGTAGTTTCACATTCATTAAGTCACATAACCATCAGAACAACCAGTTGGGGTAGTTATTACTCCCATTGTATAGTTTAATAAAAGGAGACCAGTGATTTAAGCTACTGGCCGGTGTATTTCTCCTTTAAGTTACGGTGTTGGATCTTGAACCCAGTCCAATATTAATTTTGTGATTACACTGTGTCACGTGCCATTTAATCTGAACAAAAATCTTGCAAAACAAGTAGTGTCGCTCTTATTGGATAGCAATAATACATAGACTTTAAAAGGCCCTATTGATATGAATTAGTGAGGGAGCTGGAGAAACTATTCCTTGCCAGGAGGATTCCAAATGTAAGTATAGATTCTAGGAGTAATAGAAACAAAATACCTTTGGTAAGCTGCACAGTAATTGCTTCAGAAAGCAATCAGTGGATACTGAATTTACAGATGTTTGAGGAGCAACATGATACTCCTCAACTATCCGCAACATGATACAGCCTCAACTGTCTCTCCACCAGATATTTACAAAGGAAAAGTAGGAGAAACAGGGTAGGAAGATACCACCTTAACCACCTGATAAAGTTCACATCACCAGTAATAAGACTAGTCAGCCTCATTTACCTACCTCCCGATGTGATTGATGCACTGAGAAGGATGCATTATCACTTACGTTGTGCTCTCGCCAAAAACTCATAACCTCATCCTCACCATGGGAAAAGCTTAAACAAATCCAAATTGAGGGAATTCTACAAAATAACTGGCCAATATTTTTCAGAAATATCAAGATCTTGAAAAGTAAGACAGGATGAGGAACCATCCCAGGTTAGAGGAGTTGAAGGAGACATGGCAGCTAGCAGCCCGGAGACAAGCACCTGCATTCTGGAGTCCCTTTGCAGGGCTGCTTTCTCCCGACTGCTCCAGCCAACCACAGAGCCTAGCCAGGAACTGAGCACCATAGGCCTGTTCCTGAGAAACCAGGTACTTTAGCTCAAGGGCTCCCCAGAAGCCTTGCTGAACCTCCTTTAGACTGTATAGACATTTAGGAGGCATCTACCCAACTTACTTCCCTCCTTCCCTCAGGGTCACATTCACATGGAAGTGGGAAAAGTGTTCCCAGCTTTTCCCTTTTTTCCCCCTAATAAAATCTAGAATTCTTTTATCTAGAATACCACAACAATCAAATGCTGTGAATTGCAATATTTTCCTTGAATTGGGTCTTGGTCCAGAAAATGGATATTAATAGGAAAATTGATGAAATTTAAAGATTTTTAAAGTATTGTGCCAGTGTTAATTTTCTGCTTTTGATTATTGTACTGTGGTTATATAAGATGTCAAAATTTAGAGAAGCTGGGAAAAGTATATGGGAATTCTGATTATTTGCCAAATATGTTAAAACTTTTTAAAAGTTATATACAAGAGAAAATGGTTATTCTATCACATCTAGGTAAAAATAACAAATATATGTTTGTTTTCCTATAATCCTGTAGCGAATGAATATTCAAAAGTTTTGAAAATGCTGGTGATGGGAATGAAGAGATATCAGAAGGACCTGAGAAGGGTTTTCAAATCACAGAAATTGACTGATTCTTACATTCTTTCCATTTCTCTCCAGCACTCCCCCCACATAGTGGCATGTAATCTTGGGCTCAGAATGAGAACACCCAAGTGTAAGCAGTACCACTAGAAAAATAGAACTGGGAATCTAACCACTCCACTCATCCAAACAGAATGGTTCCAAGAGAATTTTTTTAATTGATTATATATTGCTGTGGCCATGTGGCTCAGTTGGTTGCAGTGTTGTCCCATACACAGAAAGGTTAAGGGTTCAGTTCCAGGTGAGGGCACATACCTAGGTTGTTGGTTCAATCCCTGGTTGGGTTGTGTGCAGGAGGCAACCAATCCATGTTTCTCTCTCACATCAGCATTTCTGTCTCCCCACCCTTCCTCTCTAAAATCAATAAAACTCCTCAGGTGAGGATTAAAAACAACAATAACAACAGAAAATTATTATTAAAAATCACACCATTGTAATTTGTAGAATTGTTTACTGTTCAGAGGTTGATGTGACTTCATATAACGACATTTAGTGATCAAGTTGTATACCACAGGTTGGAAGTTGAATCTAGGGAGCAGGAGCCCTTGCAGTTGCAGCAGTCTTGCTGGTTGTGCACAGGTTATTAAATTGTTCAATTGTAATTGTGAAAACATTTATTCTGTGCTAAGTCTATTTGTTTAAGTGTGTGCTTTTTTTACATTTAAGCTAAGTAAGTTAGAAATCCCAATCAGGAATAAGTCAGGTCCCAGATATTCTAGGGTAAACAATAATCTGCTGTCAGTGGGGAAAATTTTTTCTAGTGTTTCTGATTATCCTCTACTTAACCCCTTCCCATCTATCTGAGAACCATTCATTTGAGTGTTGAATTAATAATTGATAGATGTAAATCAGTTGGACTCTGTTTACCCAAATTATTTTATTTGCATGTGTACAGCCCTTTAATTGTCAAATATATTAATATGTATTTTAAAAATTACCTTTGCTGACCTACTTTAATAGACATTGTTCTTTTTTAAAAATTCAGAACCTTTATATTTAAGGAACACAAAAATGAAAAGAAAGGTAATGAATGCTGGCAAGGTGAGATTGAGTCCTAATGAGGAAGCCTTCATTTTAAAAGAAGATTTTGAGAGAAGACGAAAACTAAGATTGCTACAGGTAAGATTTTTTTTTAAGTTTTAAGTTCTTTGTCTCTTCTAAATTATTAATATTTTTATATTAAATTAGAGCATTCTAAATAAAATGTTATCTTTCCTGGCTGTATAAAGAGCCCTGATTTTTGCATACTAACTGATTTTGGAATATTTGAAAAATAGACTGAAATGGTAAATAGATTAAAGAGGAGTTTGGCAAGGATAGGGGTGATTTGACTCAATAATTATTGGAAGGTAGTTTTTTACATATTTTTAAAATAATGTGTAACTGATGAAGATTAGAGCAGGAAGATTACAATGACTTGAAGAAGACTTACTGGAAAGATTATTAACTGCCGAAGCAAATTTATTAAGACATTGTAGGTTTTTCTTTTCTAGAAGTCTTTAGACAAAGTTAAGTCTTTGCGAAGCATATTTTAGATGCCATTCTGCTTAGAATTGGGAGTGATATACCACAGATAGGAGTTCTCATCTAGTTCCATCTGTATTCATCTGGGCTATAAATTTTGTCAAATCATGCTTAACCATTTTAGCGTCTTCTGTTAGGTTATTAGAATGATAATAGCAGTACCATTATTAGTGCTTGGGGGGTATAATAGCTAATCATTTAGGAAATTTTAGAAGTTGTCCTGAGATTTTAGTTTTTTCTATGTCACTTGGATTTTTTTTTTGGCTTTACATAAAGCTTAGCTAGTAAAATGTGAAATTCAGAATTGATAGGCCTAAAGAGAATTCATTTAAACTTCTATTTCCAAATAGCTTTTCAAAAAAAATTTAGTACTCTTTTCATATAATCTGTTAATTATTCATTCATCAGGTTCGAGAACAAGAAAGGGATATTGCTTTACGGATAAGAGAAGATATAAAACAAAGGAGAAGTCAGCAATTTACTCGTTTGGCAGAGGCACTAAGGGCAGAATGGGAAGAATCACAAACTCAGAAAATAAACAACTTGGAAAAACTGTATTTGGCAAGTTTAAGAAATATGGGAGAGGGACACCAACAAGCGAAAGAAAATGTAAGTGAACACTTATTTAACTGTTCAACAGTAGTAGTAATTTTGGTTAAAAATAAATTGTAGTTATTAAATGCCTATCTGATAAAAATGTTTTCATACATAGAATTTGGTTTTGATAGCCTGAATTCTTTAAATGAAATATAATTTAAGAATGTTACTAGGTTCATTAAGTATCATTATTCTCTTTTAGTCTTTAACTGGCTGGGTAAATAAAATAGTAACTGTCTTAATCAGAAGTTGTTATTTCCAGAAGATTTGGTGGGGTGAATTCAAATTTCCCATTTCATTATCATTCCTCATACATCCTAAACATATGAGATCTGTCCAGAAGGTTTCCAGCCATGTAATATGAAAAATAGAGACATTTATTGAAGAAGATACAAAATACAAGAAACACTGTACAAAGGCCAGTGGCACTTCAG